AGACAGTGTCCTCCACCTACGAAGTGTGACAGCCAAGCTCTACAGAGCCATTGTCTGGCTCAGAGGCTCATTCCCTTGAACTGGCTGGTGGGGCGGCAGGAAACTCTGATGGGGACACCATGCTTTACCAACCCGGAGTGCTGGAGAATTTCACAGGGACTTCAAGTGCCATGCTCACCAGGAACTTTCGGGGGACAACCAGTTTTTGAAACAGCACTTTCCAGCGGAGAAGAATTCTCGCCCTGCAGCCCGGGTTGAGAAAGAACACCCGTGCGTCGGTGTTAATCAAAAATTCGTCCACTTTCCTTTGAGAATCTGGTCTCCCTCCCACAGCGCGGTCATGGCCAAGCCGGAGCCGCAGGCAGTGTGGGCGCGGCCGGTCGACAGGGGAAAGCGCCGCGCACAGCGCATCCAGAGATCCGTCTTTGTCCTCAAACCACCCGAGCCCGGATTTCGCGTCGTACAGAACCCGATTCTGCAGTCCTTCAAAATGTCCACCTCCTTCCAGCCTCCCTTCCCTTGGAGACAAACCCACCAAACAGGAGGCACAACCTCTCCCTCAACTGAGCCGTTCGTCAAGCCCTCGGCCGAAGCTTCCGACGCGCGGTAGGGTCCTGACAGCACAGATCGCGGAACCTCCGCGGCCGGGGGGGGGGGGGGAGGCGCAACGTCCCCAGAGCCGGCGGCCGGGGGCCCAGGGTCCTGGTGGAAACGGCCGGGAGACCCGGCGCGGCGAGGTGGGGAGGGTCGGGCGAGGCCTTGCTCCTTCGTCACCAGCCAGCCGGAGGAGGGTGCCGGGTCGCGTTCCCCTCCGGGCGCCCACCGGGAGTGGGGAGGCCTGACCAGCAGGGAAACCTAGGGAGGCGGAGGGGCACAGTGCGTGATCCCCCACCGACGAGCCAGCAGATGGCACCCGGCCGGCCTGGGGGCACAGGTGGGGCACAAAGGCGGCGACCGGAGCCACCCGGATTCTGACGCTCAGGCGCGGCGGCGGCGGGACGCCCAACTCCCGCCCGCCGGGCCCCGCCGTCCCGACCCCGCGGCAGGAAGGGCGACCCCGCTGACCGGCGCCCGGACTCCGCGTCCCGGAGCCGGCTGCCTCCCTCCCCAGGGACGCGCTCGCCTCTCCGCCCCTCCCCAGCCGCGGCCGGCGGAGGGGGCGGCAGAGAATCCCGGGGGACCTCACCAGGCAGACTGGCTAATTCGTCGTGAAGCTGAGGATGTTCTCGATGGCTTCCGATGGGCAACGCCACCAAGCGTGTTGTTCTGAGGCAGCTGGTCGGGAGACCAACGGCAGGGGCCGGGGGCGCCTGGGAGCCAGCGCTGCTGGGCCGGGGCCGGGGGCGGGGCGGCGGGCATGGGCAGAGCCGGCGACGCACGGGGGCCGCCGTCTGGCCGCCGCCTCCTTCCTCAACCATCCCGCTCTCCCGACGCCGCCACCGCCATCTTGGGGGTTTGATGTCTGTCCCCCACTGCAAAGGGGCCAGGGCGCTTCCGGTGCGTCACTCCGCCTGGGCGCGGGGCGGGGCAGGGGCGCCGGGGGGCGACCTGCGCGGGGGACGCGGAGGAGCCGGAGGTGGCGCGGCTGAGATCTTCGCGGCAGGGGAGGGGGGTCGGGCCGTCCGCCCGGGAAGGCGACCGAAGCCACCCAGGGCAGACGCGAGGAGCCAGCCGGTTGAGGTGCTGTCCCCGGGCGCGTTTCTTGGCGCGCCCCTGACCCGCAGGACAGGTAACCCACAGTGTCACCTGAGTGCAGGTGGGACGCAGCTCAGGAAGTCATGTTCCACCGGACCCAGTGATTCGTTGAGGCAGGTAACAGGAGTGAGGTACAGTTACAACCAGCAAGTGGAAGAATCTTGAAGACATCTGGCTAAATGACAGAAAGCCAGGTCAGGGACAACCTCTTCTGAAGTCTGCAGCCCTAGTCCGTGGCGCAGAGGGGGCGGAAGGGGAAGAGGGGAGGGATACAGAGAGGAGCTGCTGCACTGCTGCTGTGGGGCTGGGTGCTGCTGGTGATGGGGGGGGGGGTTGCGGGGGGGCCGGGGGTGCTGCTGGGTGACGGCAGGTGCAGGGGCCGTCCTGTTGAGTGATAGGGGGGTGTGAAGTGAGAACACAACACTGGGTGATGGGGTGCAGGGCCGGGGAGGCTGTTGGAGGTGACGGGGGTGCTGCAGGGCAGGGAATTGCTGCTGGAGTGATGGGGTGCAGGGGCCAAGGTGCTGCTGGGTGATGGCAGGTGCAGGGCCGTCCTGCTGCCCAGGTGATGGGGGGTGCAGGGCCGGGATGCTAGTGATGGCGGAGTCGCGGGGCCGGCCTGTTGAGTGGGGGTGTGGGGCCGGGTTGCACTGAGTGATATGAAGGGTGCAGGAGGCCGGGAGGAGGGTGCTGCTGGGTGATGGGGGTGCAGGTCCCGTCTGCTGGGTGATGGCGGGAGTGCGAAGGCCCCGGGGTGCTGCTGGCTGATGGTGAGGTGCAAGAGCCAGGTGCTGCTGAGTGATGGTGGGAGTCTTGCGTCCTGCTGGAGTAATGAGCTGGGGAGGCTGGCAGAGGCTGGGGGGGGGACTCTGTGGGAGAAGTACTTCCTACTGCAGCCAGGAATCCTCTTTAGAGTGAAGGAAAAACAGAGGACGGAGGAAGCCCAGGGGACTTGGGGGGCAGGGGAGAATCGTCCTACCAATGGGGCCGAGGATGAAAGGCGCTTCCAGGAGTCTGAATAGAGGAAGCACAACCTTGTAGTACCCTGAAACGTTAAAGTGATTTTTAGAATATATGAATTATATCTAAATTAAAAGCTTGATGAGGGGGGCTTGAGTGGCTCAATCCGTTAAGCCTCTGACTCAGGTCATGGTCTCGGGGTGGTGGGATGGGCCCTGGGATGACTGCCGGGACTCATTCTCTTTCTCTGTCTCTGAAAATAAATAAATAAACAGTTGATTTAATGGAATCATCAAAAAATATACGAAAGTAAAGGTGTGATGTGGAATCTAATATTTAGGTAGTCTCAAATAATTGCCCACAAGTTACATGTTCATGTAAAGATAAAAAAAGTTTACAATAGAGAATTTGGTGGCCACTACCGTATCAATCATCAATATTATCAGGAGTTATGGGAGGAATGGACATCGTGTGTACCTCCTGAGGATGTGACACAACATAACATTCCTGCAAAAAAGAGAAAAAAAAGGCATAACCTTTATTTGAGGTAGGCAAATCTGGATGATCAGTGCTCTGTAAAAACAGTATTGTCATCAAGACAAAGACTAAGGATTTGTGCCAGATTAAAGGGACTAAGGAGATAAAATAATAGAACGGGTGATCCTGGATTAGGAAAAATAGCTAAAGAACATTATTGTGATGGTTGGCAAAATTTGAATATGGGCTATGTCATGATAGATAATATAATCATATTCATTTTTGATTTGGATAATTGTGATCTCGTAAAAGAAAATGTTCTTCTTAGAAATACACATTGAAGTTTTAGGGGTAGGGGCCATATCTCAACTTGCTCTCAAATGGTTCAATAGATAGGGGAGATTAACAAAGCAAATACCATAAATGTTAACAAGTGGCGGAGAATCTGGATGAAGAGTTTCCTTCTACTGTCTTGCAATTATTCCAAAAAAAATTAAAAAGTTGTGTGTGTGTGTGTGAAAATTAATAAAGGAAACATCCTAAAGCAGATTCTGGATGCAGAAGGGGAGCCCTGGAAGAGGCTGTGCAGCTCAAGGTCAATCTGGGAAGAACTGATTACAGGCCAACAGGAAGCATCGAATTTGTATGGGGGAAGATGTGGAGCATCTCACTCGAGAAGAATACCCGCCCGCACCCCCACAGCTCAGCCACTGAGAAACTATCACCCTCAACCCCAGCTACTCCAGTGGACTTTGGTTCAAAACCAACCTCCCAGAGAGCCTGGGTGGCTCAGTCGGTTAAGCGTCCGACTCAGGTCATGATCTCATACACGAACGTGGAGTTGAGGCGATGGGGCTCTGTGCTGACCTTCGGAGCCTGAGCCTGTTTCGAATTCTGTGGCTCCCTCTTTCTCTGACCCTCCCCTGTTCATGCTCTCTCTCTGTCTCAAAAATAAATAAATGTTAAAAAAAAATTATAAAAAAAACAACAACAACCCCTCCCAGCTTCCTCCTTCTTGTCCGTAAATAACGTTCCTCTCCTCTTTGTTGAACTTGCCTATGGTTTTTGCCAAAGCGGGCCTGTCTGCAACCGCAATTCTCTGTTATTCCCAAATAACAACAGTCAGTTATTTTACTGGTAGTAACAATCAGTTACTTTCACTGGTAAAGTAACTGACTCCTATTTTTAAGGTTAGCACTTAATATTTCCATACTTTTGTATCCTCATTCTATAACAAAGATAAGGGTACATAAATGACTAATTTTTGAAGCTTTCTGATCCTTGTTCTGGGTCTCAAAAGTCTCCAGTATGTTCTTTGTTTTGCAGCTCTGGTTTGGAATCTAACTATTGTGTAGTAGATGCGGAAACTGCAGGAAAAGCTAAGTGAGTAAACAGGCTTTGGAAAAGGGGGTCAACTAAAGCAAGGAGATTAACGGGAGGGGGTGGTGGTTGGCCTGGCCGACTTGGCCCACTTTCCCCATTGTGGGCACCTATCTTGTTGCAGATTGTGAAATCCTTTGTAGTTCTTTCTTTCTTTCTGCCCCACCCCGCCCCACCTCCAGGGCACGGTGGCATCGGTGAATGCTTTATGCCAAAATGTTTCTGATACATTTACAAATTTATGATGTTTGTTTCATCTCCCCTAATAGATTATAATTTCACTTTCTGCCTAGCGTATTGCTCTCCATAGAACCAATTACAAATTGGTCTGAAATTTATTTTCTACCCTGTTTTAGTAAAATTTGATACTTTGTTAATATGTTGGCTTGGAGGGCACCTGGTTAAGCGTCTGACTTGGCTCGGGTCATGATCTCCCAGTTCATGGAATTGGCCCCGAGGTGGGCTCTGCACTGACAGCACAGGGTCTGCTTGGGATTCTCTCTCTCCGTCTCTCTCTGCCACTCCCCTGCTCGCTCGCATGTGCTCTCTCTCTCTCTCTCTCTCAAAAATAAGTAGACATTGGGGCGCCTGGGTGGCTCAGTTGGTTAAGCGGCCGACTTCGGCTCAGGTCATGATCTCGCGGTTCAGGTCATGATCTCGTGGTCCGTGAGTTTGAGCCCCGCGTCGGGCTCTGTGCTGACAGCTCAGAGCCTGGAGCCTGTTTCGGATTCTGTGTCTCCCTCTCTCTGACCCTTCCCCATTCATGCTCTGTCTCTCTCTGTCTCAAAAATAAACGTTAAAAAAAAAATTTAAAGAAAAAAATAAGTAAACATTAAAAAAATAGATTGGATTGAAATTGGACCCCTATAAATAGAATTATGCTTTAAATACATTGTGGGAACTCTCATTATAAAGGAAACGCATAGAAAATTCTTTAAAAAGTGAATTATCACTTCCTAATTTAATCTGTCTGTTTTTTAAATTCACTAGTTGCATGCAGTTTTGTTTTGCTTGAAAGGGGTGTGCGAAAAGCATTCTATTCCCTTTCCACCTGTGGCCAACTGGTTAACCTGGGGCAGGTGACCACAGATCAGCACAACAGAATAAAACTTTGCAAATAATTTAACACTATCTGCCAGTAAGCTCATTCAAACTGTCCTCTGTTTATGTATATTGCATCTGGTGGCCTTATATTCCCTATACATTTTTTTTAAGTTAATTTATTTTTAGAGAGAGAGAGCGTGAACGGGGAAGGGGCAGAGAGAGACAGAGACAGAATCCCAAGCAGGCTTCACACCGTCGGCACGGAGTCCGACTCGGGGCTCAAACTCACGAACCCTGAGATCGTGAGCTGAGCGGAAACAGAGTCCAATGCTCGATAGACTGAGCCACCCACATTTTTTTTAATAGAGAAAATTTCAAAACATACAGTTTTTTTGTTTCAATTATTGAAATCAATGCTCGCTTTGAAGATCCTCCCCAATCAAAACAAATAACTTGTAACTACAACAAATATTTGAACTTGTAGGAGTTGGGGGTTCTAAATGAGGTTTTATGCCAGCAAAGTACTGGAGGACCTTTGCAAGCCGGTGGTCTCAAGTATGAGGATGAGCAGATACAGCAAATGGGTGGAGTTTCGAATTCCTCAGATTAAAGACGGTCGAGTCAATTTACTGTAACGCAGACAGCGGGCTTTATCTTGGCCTCCCTTTTCCGTCTGCCTTCCTGGTCAGGGTGTGTTGGGTCCGGTGCAGTGGGTCTTGGTGACGGGCGAGCTAAGCGATGGCCCCTCCACGGGAAGAAGGGCTTTATATGTGAAAAAGAGGAAACTAAAACCAGATGTTGTTTTTCCTATGTTTGAGCAGGTTTATAATGTGGAGAAAGAAGGGTGAGCCCATAGACTAAC